ACTCCCACCCTCCTCCCCTTAGTGCAGAGCTCACAGGCCCTGAGAGCTTCATAAAAGCTCCTGGGGCAGCCCATTCCTCTCAGGGAAAGCTCTAAGGCCTACTAGGAAGCTGTCTTACTTTTCTGCCCTCTCAGGCCAACAACCACCACAGGCCCAATCCCTCTGCCATCCAAATGCAGGATGTAAATAAAGTTTAGTGATGGCCATCCCTGAATCTTGTACTATGAAAGAAACACTGAAGTTTTAACTAATTCCATTTAAATTGGATTCCCTCCACCTTAGGGAAGACTAGGAGAAATAATCACCAAGTGGGATGTTCACATTTAATTTCTCTTCACAAACAGCAATTATGTGCAATTTTAATTTTAATTGTTTCCATTTCTGTCTGGAGTGCATGGGGTGAGGGGAGGCTTAAAATAGAGATATGCCCCAAGAAATCATTCTAGCATGCTAGGTAAAGACGAATGCTAAATTATTTTAAAGAAATATTATTTATATCCCTTTAACTGAAAATGAAGCTCATTCTACCGCTTCAGTAAAAGAGGAACAAATCTGAACTCAGGGAGTGTTTCTCAACCAAGTTCTATGTTCATAATCAAAATAGCTATCTGTGCCCGTAGGAAAATTCATTAAATTATTCACCCCAAGAAGCCAGAGAAACCTGAAGACAGAGAGAGACCAGAAACTTGCTTTGGAAAAGGCCTCAGAAGTCACAAATGGCAGAATGGACGCTTAGTGGTGGCCCCCCAGCTCGGTTCGGGCCCTCCTCTACCAATCTGAGCTGATACTGGGGGTGGCTCCCTACATCAGCCTGGGCCCTCCTCCATCCATTCAGAGTTCCCAACTGGTTTCCCTTCTAGAAATTAGTGCAGAAAGTGCCCCCGGTTCCAACCCCTTTTATATGTGAAGAGTAGAATTTAACAACGAAGTAATTAAACACTGAAAATAAGGGTTTATAATTAAAATGCTGACACAAAGTGAACTACAAATGGGCTGCTGTAATATTTTTACAGTCCCTTTCATACATAATGTATGATCCTTCTGCTCAAGTTTCCTCTATGTTCTTTTCCTGTGAAATAATTTACATTAATAAATAATTTATTACAGCAACTCTGAAGGTAATTATGATTTTCCATCCTCCCCCAACCTTTTTTAAAAATATGAATTCTACTTTGTCCTCAGCCCTCTGACTCATGAGCAGCCTTTCTGGGCTAAGTCAGAGGGATTTAATTTGCTTTCTCAGGCATCCCTTCGCACCCAGGTCTTCTCAGAGACTGGGCCAAAGAATGGACCCCAACGGCCATCGTCCTCAATAGCCATACACAGTATGACATAATTCTCAGTGTGGCAGAGACCTGAGGGCTGCAGCTCCTCCATTTCAACAAAAAGATTAGAATATTATATATGTGACTGGGCCCCAGGGCCAACCAAGAGGAAATCAGCCTCGGGTCTCTACGGTCAGCAGGCTTGTGAGCAGCCCTCAACGGGCCTGCATACTGAGGGATTCCCCCAGCCTCATCCATTTTCTACCACCTGAAAAACTGAATGATAAGGAAAAGTAGGTGGCTAGCTGAGTAATGGGTGGGCGAGATAGGAGAAGCTGTTTTCAAAATAATATTTCCTGTTGCAAGAACACAATAATTAGTCATGTAGATGGAAATGTACAGAGGAAATTACAGTTCAGGAATAGAAGGTAGGCCAAGGACCATCAGGAGAGACAGTAGGAAATACAGAGACAGAACCCCTCGGTGTGACAGCAGATTTGCCCCCAACTCTGCAAAGCTCTGTGTGCAAGAACCTTCCAGCAAGCCAAGTCTGCTTTAGCCTTCTCTTGTGATTGGAGTTTTTCCTTCTGCCCTCGGTCAGAGCAGGGCACACATACAGTTCCCAAATGACTGAGGGAAGCAAGCTCTTCGTTACCAAAGCTCTGAATGCCTTTTTCTTTCATTGTCCTGAGCACTTAATTTTATTACTCACAAATTCTGATCTAAGTGGATCCAGGGAGGGCCGAGGTGCTCAAGAGGGGCCATCTGATGAAGAAGCCAATGAGACCCAACAATCTGTATGCTAACTCAAAGGCAGGATTTTGTTAAAGGTATTTATGAAATTCAAACTCTTCTTAGCTCCCCAATAAGACATTCATTTGGAGACTCAGGAACAGTCAGAAAGGTCCAAGCTGTCCCAGTTCTCACCAGAGGATTCCAATGATTATGGACAGAACATTAGCCTTTTATCATCAAGGGACAGGCAGGGGTTTGGAGGTGCTTACAATAATATACATTTCATTTCCACCAAGCATTGTACAGCCTTGGAAAGACCTAAAACCCTCTTGTAAAGCTCTGCTGAGCCTGTCAAAATATTCCCTTCCCTACCCCTGAAACAGAGGCACACCTAACATGGACAGTGACCATGCTACCCAGCAGAGAACTCCAACAGTAAGACCTTGATTCCCCAGGGTACTCAGGGTCTGGGCCTTCGGGGGAAAGGGAGGGTCAACCAGGAAACTGTTAGAGGGTCAGCCCCGAATGCCAAACACCCTTGCCTTTTAGAGGCTGCTCCCCAGAGCAAGGCTGGGCCCATCTTTGGAGACTGAGGAGCCTGGGGACTCTAGTCCTCATTGTCCAGGGCTGCAGAGGTGTGTGCTGTGGACTGCCCTTGAGTCTGCATTGACCTGACACACACCCTGGAAGCTGTCCTTGGTAGATAAACCCCTAACACCCTCCTATGCTTTCTTGTGATGTCCATTTCCCCCCAAAGGCAAGTGGAGAGAGATAGTGAGCCTGGTTAACCGAGGGGCTCTGTTTAATTGAGTTCTTCCTGCATTAAGTCAGGACAATTTCCTCCCACCTCAAGGAAGCCAAAAGAGAACATGCACATGCTACAACAGACAAAATGCCTCCTACGACTCTTCACTCGGTGACTCCACTAAGAACTGCTTGTAGGGAGAGAAAAAAAGGGCTTGGGGACTTTGGAATGGTGATTGGGCCAGGCAGGTAGGGCAAGGAAAGATGAAACAGCAGGCCCCCTTCCCTTACCTTCCTCCCTCCTTCCTAAACTGGGCAGGGCTGAGGCCTAGGGCCCTTCCAAAATGGCAGCTGCACTTGGCTCCCTGAGATCCGAGGCCCTTTTCAGATCAGCCCTGCACGTCCAGAAAGACTAGAGCCAAGCCAGTGCTGAGGAGGCCAGGATCAAAATGGCCTCATCCTTGGCAGGGAGGACCTATAGCCTCCCCAGAGTTAGAAGGCTTGGAATCCCCCAAGGACTCATGGCTTCATGGCAAAAGTGCTTTCCCTAGCAATGCTTCTCTCGTCTGAGGCCCTCAGCTCCAAACTGTAGCTGCTGGGGGCATCTTCCTCAAAATCTGAGACCGTGATGCAGAGGAAGAAGTAGTGACTCCTTCCCACTACCCCTTTCCAAAGGAAACCCAGGCTACCCTTTGTGTTTCACCATGCTGTCCTCTTCTGAGGGCAGCGAGGCTGTCTCCAGACTCAGCTGGTTGAGGAGGCTCTGACAGGGTGACTTATGGGGCCTGGGGCCTGATCATTCCCAAGGGAGCTCAGCACCTTCTGCCTTCCTCCAGGAGGGAAGGCCTAATCCAATTTAAAATCCACCTAGTTACTGGTCTTCCTTAAAACAAAGGACCAGCTGAACACTAAGGGGCCAGACGACCAGGCCCAATCTGAAGCTAGAAAACAACAAAAACCCAACAACCAAAAACAACCAACCAGAAAGAAAGGAAAAAGCCCAACCGCAGTGTGCAATGCCAAGAAGACCCGACCTTCCTGACCGGGGGTGACAAGGACAATTATGGAGGAAAGGAGATGAGACTCTCTTAGAAATGGCTCCAGAGATGCTCAGGTTGGCCTCAGCAGATGTTGTCAGCAAGCAGACCCAGCCAGCCCAGCTGTGAGCAGCAAGCTCTGAGCCAGCCACTCTGCAGATGGGCAGCAGGCTCTCGGCCGGCCATTCTGCAGACAGGCAGCAGGCTCCCTCTGCAGATGGAGCACCAGAGTCCCCAGCAATACCCTCCCTCGGGCTCTGGAGCCAGGACCTGCCTCATATCACACAAGGGATGCCAGGCTCCCAGAGCACGGAAGGCAGGCAAGATAACCCCTCCAAAAGCATGTGACTTTGCTAACCAGAGGAGAAACTGAGACCACAAAAGAGCCAAGACCACATGATCAGTGACCATGGGACCTCAGACCTCTGGCTGGGAGGGCCCTCGGCCTCCTCGGCTCACAGAGGAGGAAAAGGAGTCCTAGAGAATTGCTAAGACTGGCCCAAGGCTGCTTGGTCAGCAGGTAGGCTAGTGAAAACTTGAACCCAGGCCCTTTGACTCTGAACCAACCTTCTTTCCAACACACCACTGCTCTAATTACAGCAACTAGGGCTGGAAGGGACCCCAGCCACCCAACCCCCTCATCAGATGAGACAAGAAAACTGAAGACCACTGACAGCAGGTGACTTGTCCAAGGTCACCCTAGTGATAAGGAGCAGAGATAGGGTTCAAACCCTCAGACTCTAACCCATAGCCCCTCTCTCCTCTGTCTCCTCAAAGCCAAGGGGTCTTCGGAAAGAAGTTCTGCAGACCCAGCGAAACACATCCCAATGCCTCCCCCCAAGCTCTCATCCCCAAGGCTTACACCTTCCTGACCCAGCTCCTCACAAGTCCCCTCTGGCAAGACGTGCTCCCCTCAGTCCCAGTGCAGGACCTTCTCATGGGCACAGCAACAGGCCTCTGACCCCCTGTGCCCAAAAGGAAACTGAGCTTTTCTAGAAAGCTGCCTGCCACATTTCTTCTTATTCTCCTCCTGGCAGCCCTGGGGGGCAGGAAGCTGACCTCCCCCCCCCAGCTGTATGGCCAGCCACAGAAACACCGACAGCTCTACCCGCAGCTGTCCCCACAAGCGGTGTGCCTCAGTGGAACCGTGTGGACACACACCTGCCCAGAGAAGCGACTGTAAACAGGGGACAGGCAGACAGAAGCCTTGGTCACTTACCCATCATTCCGCAGGAGAAAAGTGTGGGTCCTTGACTCATCTTCTCTGGAGTGTGCTGAAAACAACCAGAGAAGCGGGTGATGTCTCACGGTCTTAGAGAAGAGGCCCCCTGTCCCCGAGCCCCCCGCTAACACTGCCCCCCAAGGGGGTGATGGCCTTCCGTAGGCCAGGGTGGCGGGAAGCAGCAGCGACACTCATTTCAAGGCCCTCCGAGTGCAGAGCGTTAGGGCAGGGCGTTTTGTCCAGTATCTCACGGGAGTTGTGGATTCCATCATTTTAATGGGCTTTAAAAAAACGGCGTGACTTCTGACATGAGGGGATTTTTCCATGTGAGGATGTGGAGGAGGGCGAGAGAGGAGGTGTGATAGGAAACAGTTGAACGAGCTCTACCAAGGAGTTCTGAAATGGAACCCCAGGCCAGCAGAGGGAGGGCAAGGCCCAGACAAGCCAGCAGGGGAAGGGCAGGGCCCAGACGAGCCAGCAGAGGGAGGACAGGGCCAGCTGGGCCAGGGAGCCATGCCCCCCAGGGCCAGCAGAGGGATGGCAGGGCCCAGCCGGGCCAGGGAGCCATGCCCCCTGGGCCAGCACAGGGAGCGCAGGGCCCAGCCAGGCCAGAGGACCCCTCTTCTGCCCTACGTGGAAACAACAGACAAAGCAGTCTTGAAGTCAGCCTCAGCCCAACTAGGCTATTTCCTGTTCTTCAGGCCTGTGCCATACAGCTCCTCTCATAGGGACCCAAATAGGAAAACACTGGAGCAGCAACCTCTGACTTCAGCACCTCGGCATCCCATTCCCCTATAACTGTTCCCATCATCCACTCACCCACACTGGCTGGAGCCACTGACACCCTAGGACCAGCTTCATTCATGTCCCCCCACCTTACAGAGGAGGAAACTCTGGAGCCCCAGAGGATAAGCGGGTTGGCCCGGGTCACCCAGAGAGAAGTGCCAGAGCGAGATTGGACCTTGGGTCCCTCTGACTCCCAAGCCAGGCCCTGTCTCCCACCTCCATTCAGGAGAGCCTTGCATTCACATGACACCCGACACTCACTAGCCATGTCCTCCTAGACAGGTCACTACACCATTCTGAGCCTCAAACAAGGACAAGAGGTCTCAAGAACCTGCTGCCCAGGGTTGTAAGATTCAAAGGAGGTCACATGTGAAAGGTGGGCAGACCTCAAAACATCAAATCAATGTGAAGGATTGTTATTATCATTCCTTCTTACTGTTGTCATTCTCATCTCCTTGTTCCCGGTTTTTTGGATGGGGTCCAGACAGAAATGGTCCTGGGACAGATCCTTTATATTTAACATCATACTTCCTGGGCAGTGGATAAAAAGGCAGTGACCAATGCAAAGCATGAGCGCCTGAGCCCAGGTTCTGTCGGCTCCCAGCTCACCCAGGAAGGCCGGCGTCCAGAGGACACCTGCCTCCTCCCCTTTCCCCAGGACGTCATGACTGTGGGTACTATTATTACTAGCCAGTACCATTCCCCGGGCCTCAGCTGTCCAGGATCTCCAGTCCTTGTGAGGTCAGAGGGACCCAGATCGGACCCAGACTGGCCTGGGCAGCTGAAGAGCGAAGCCAAAAGCAAAGGGAAACCTCTCTTTAGAGGGCCTCCCCCATCTCCCCAAGCCCAGGGAGCCCCCAACAATTCTAAAGGGATTCAGGCCTCGAGTCTGCAGTCGCATGCAGGACTGAGAGCAAGAGAGGCTGGCTGCTGACCACCGCTACAGTCACCTCCTGAGAGCAATGCTGATAAATACGCCTCGCGCCTGGTAAAAGCCGCTGGAAGGGGCTCGGGCAGCCCGGGCAGCTGTGTCCAGAGAGGAGGGCTGCCAGGGAAATGGGCTCAGTCGCCGCTCCGGGCCTCAGTGTCCCCACAAGCACCCAATCGAGGCCTCAAAGGGCCTAGAGGATCTTGGCGGAGCCCAGAGGGTCCCAGAGAGGTCCCAGAGCTGCACTGGAAAGGCCCTTCAAAGTCAACCCCTTCCTTTGGCAGGAACTGGAGCCCCCAAGGTCATACGGTAAGGGCAAGGCCAGGATTTGAACGCAGGTCCTGGGATCCCAGAGGCCGCTCTGACAATGGAGGGGCCGCAACCACAGAGGGGGATCGTGGGTCAAAAGGGGGCAAAGAAAGCGGGTTGAAAAGAGGGGAGGGGGTCTCAGTCTCTCCTCCCAGCTGCCGGCTCAGGACTGCTGGGCCGCAGACAAAGCCAGGAAGTAAAGTTGGGAACTCACCCGTTATTCTGAGAAGTGAAACTCACCCAGCTAAAACTGTCTCTACAGTTCGTGAAGCCCGAGGCTTCTGATCCTAAGGAAATGCAGAATTCAGAAGAGCCTATGAGCCACAGCAAGGCCTTTGTCCAAACCAGCAACTCAGCCTACGCTGGACTTCCAGGCCTCTCTGTCCAGAGGCTTCCGTTGCTCCCAAGAGAGGATCAAATGAAGACGGCAAGCCCCATGTGTGGGCAGGATCCTGCTCGCTGCGTTACGTCTGGCCCCCATCCATCTTCCCAGACCAACTTCCCAAGTTTCCCCCAACACGCTCTCCATTCCAGACAACCTGGCAGTATATCCCATCTCCCACCTCCAGGCCCTTGTACGGCTGAGCCCCGTGCCTGGCATACTGCTCCTCTTAGACCTCGTCCATTCATCAGGGCCTATACAAGGTCTCTCCTGATCCCTGCCTCTGAAATGATTTTGTATCTTCTTTGTATTTGGTATTTCCTCATTTGGAACATTTTCCCTTCTCCTCTGTATCTGCCGGCTACCCTGGCTTAGAGCACCAGCTAAGATCTCAGCTTCTACTGGCAGCCTTTCCCAACGCTGGAGGCCGCCCCTTGGCCTGCACATAGAGCTGGCTGAAGGCATGCCATCTCCCCCGTGACACTGGGTGCTCTCTGAGGTCAGGATGACCAGTGCTTTGAAGCATGCCCGGGCATAGGGATGGCGACCCTGGCTTTGCTCTGTCTGACTCGTCGGGCTCATGCCGCGCAACCTCAGTAAACCAGAGCCATTCACCGGGTCACCAAAGCCGAGCCCGCTTCGCCTTTTTGAGAGTCAGTCCCTGAACCCCCAACGGAATGAGGAGTGAGGGCCAGCAGAGCGGGGGCGGGGGATGCGCCCGAAGCTAAGCGTCCATCTCTAGGGCAGGCTCTGAAGCTGACAAGGGACACACGTTCATACACTGTTTCATCTGATCGTCACAACAACCCTGTGAATAATGATTAGTAACAACAAAAATCACTAACATTCCTACGGCCCTTTCACGTCTGCCAGAGCCTACAAATATCAGCACGTGGTCCTCGTGGTACACAGGTTCTATTATTATTCCCATTTTACAAATGAGGAAACTGAGGCAGGGAGAGGCTAAGGGACTTGTCCAGGATAACATGGCTAGTAAGTATCCCAGGCAGGATTCAAACTCAGATCTTCCCGACTCTGAGTCTAGGAATCTGTCTACTGCTCCTCCCAGCTGCCTCATGAAGCAGGGAGCTCCCTGTGATGGAGGGAGGCCACGCCCTATCAGCCCCACTTTACAGGTAAGGAAATGAGGCACCGCGTGACTAAATGATCTGCCTTTTGATTCCCTGCCTTGGAGTCCAGCTGGAGGACCAGAAGTGGCCCCTGTCCTGCCGGACTCTAAGTCCAGTACTCTTCTCGCCACACCCCACTGCCTCGAGGACTGAACAATTAAGAAAAGCAAACGATTTATTCCATGTGCGTGTCACAGCTGAAATCAAGCAAGGAGGGGGCGCCAGGGAACAAGGACCACAATTCATCTGTTGAGCGCTTATTCTAGAACTGACGTCTCCTTAAGGAAAGCCTTATTTCTGTCTCCCTAAGGTCACCAGGGCACAAAAGTGTGCTTGCTTTGAAATGCAGAGGTCCTTGAGCCTGGCTTCCTAACGTGGAATGCAGAACTTGTGAAAGGCAAGCACGTCTGTGTGTGCTCCTCGCTGGCCCAGCCAGGAAAGAAGGCCTTCCCTCAACTGAGAGCTGCACAGATTTACTAATTGTTCTTCCTCAGGAGCCGCCGTTGACCAGGCCAGCCTTGATCCAGGACATACGTGGGTTTTCATAACTTTTTTTTTTCTGTATGCCAATTACTCAAACTATTATGTCATCTTCCTGCTCATATAATTCTACAGGGAAGCCTTCCTGCAAAAGAAAGAAAATGAGAATCTCACATTTTCAGGGCGACAGACAGTAACATGAGGAACAGAAAATAATGAATTCATGGCACCAAAAAGCAGAAGGAAGACCCAGAACTCTGGGGAAGAACAGAAGTAGCTGAAAGATGAAAAGTGTGACTTGAGCTTGGGGGCTTTAAGACAAGTCTTATTTGGGGAATGGAGAACAGATTGGGGAAGAGGGGGAATGGATTGGGGGTATGGGGAAAGATCGGGGAAGGGAATGGATTGGGGAGGGGAAACAGATCGGGGAAGAGGGGGAATGGATTGGGGGGACAGGGAAAGGATGGGGGAGGGAATGGATTAGGCCTGTGCCTCAGTTTCCTCATGCATCCAATGGAGATGACGACACCTGCCTCACCTACCCCTCAGGAGAGAGCTGAACAAGAATGCGCCTTCCACAACAGACCAGACCAGTGGTCACCCAGCTTCTCTCTGCCTGATGCCCTCCAGGGGGATGGGAAACCCACTCCTCTGCAGGAAGCCCACCCGACCTTGTGGGCAGCTCTCATTGTTAGCTGCTTGAGGAATGAGGCAAATAATAAATGGGAAAATATTCTGAAATGTGTACATTGCTATGAACATGAATGAAGAAAGGAAGCATTTATTAAGCACTTACTGTGTGCACAGCCCCACACCAAGCCCTGAGGATGCTGCCTGAATGGTCCCCACCCTCGGGGAGCTCCCACTCTAGCGGGGGGAGACGTCAGCTGCAGTCCCATGAGAAGGTGCCAAAGCAGAGGTCGGGCCACTTCTTTCATGTCACTTCCACTGATAAAAATGCTGTTGATGTCTGATGCTGAACCTTGTGATGGGGCCATGGCTTTGACAAGGAGAATCTTCCTTCCTGGGTCTCCCAGGCTGTGTGGGAGCTCCTGCAGGAGCCAGCTCCAGGCTGAGTCTCCGCAGGATGATGGTGAAGGGGCAGGAAGCCCAATACTCTCCAGGCTCTGGGACTCAAGGGCCTGGGCTGTCTCCATCAGGGCCGAGATGGCAGTGTTGGTCTGTCTGCCCGGTATATGGGGGATATATCCTGTGTCTCACTATTTCAGCCAAGCCAGCTTGCCTGCCCTGGGGTGGCAGGGGTTGGCAGTTGGTGGGGATGGCTCTTCCCCAGATGACGTCTGTAAGAGCTGAGCTGGTCACAGGACTGGTGGTCTGGGGGCAGTTCCTGTGCCTATGTGCTGAGGGGGGAGGAGGAGAAGTTGGTCTGCATTTATTGCTGGCAGCAGTGACGAGAGCGGCCCCCCTCTCCACAATGATGACTGTGCCGAAAGTCGGTTTGACAGTTTGGGGGCAACACCATTCCCCAGGCTCTGGGGCTAGGAATCCTGGGGAAGATGGTGGTCAAGGTGGTGGTGGAGGATTGACAGGTGAGACAAAGTGAGTGAGTGAAAGAGATGTGTTCAGACCCTGGGAAAGGGATGGGTGGTCCTAGCCCAGACCAGGAAATGGCCAGCTCCCAAGCTCCCTTTGCTCTATGGACTTCAGCTAGCCTGGCACTAGATAGAAGCCTTGCCTGGGACAGGCTCCCAATCCAGGCCCGAGGAAGGCAGTCACTATGGAAATGAGAGAGCAGGCCCTTGAACTTGGCGTGGGCAGCTGAAAGAAGATGGCGGGAAGCAGGCCCTCCAAGGTCACACATCTGGGCTGCCTTCCAGCCACAGCAGTGAGAATACTTGGAAGAAAGATCCCATCCAAAGAGGGAAAGGAGGAGAGGAGAGGAGCAGGGGGGCAGGGCAGGGCAGGGGTGGGGCGGGGCCTCGCAGGCCACCAAGTGCAAAGACAGAAAGATATCACAGTCCTCAGCAGCCCTCACTTACAGTAGATGGCCCTTCCTTGGGACTTCCTCGGGGTGGGGAGGGAAGTCAAATAAATGGTCATAAAGGGCTGCTCAAAGCACAGGGAGCAGAAGAGCAAAGGGACCAGTGGTGGGACAACAGGACCCAAACCCAAGCCTCCTCCAGCCCCAACATATCTTTACAATCCTGGGGACCTCACCAAAAGAAGTTTCTGCAACTTCCCAAAGGGCTCTGAGAAATACAAGGTCTGTAATTTTCCTCAGCTCTTCCCACAAGGGATCTCCTCTGTCCTAGCCCAGAGCAGGGGGGGCTCAGAGTTTAAGAAAAGAAAATGACCTTCCCCCACTTCCGTTATCTTGATGGTATTTCTAAGCAGGATGATGTTACCAGCTCAGAAAAAATGGAGCTACGCCTGCTCCCATCAACTTCCTGTACCTCAGGGCACCTCCAGTCCCTATGGTGCAGCTGTTTGCCTTCTCATCTGTGTGGCCAGGGGGGAAGAAGAGGAAGAGGAGGAGGAGGGGGAGGAGGGGGATGGGTGGACCCAGAAAGAAGAGGGCTGGAGCCCAAAGTCCAGCATTTGGGTGGTACGAGCTGGGAGGAACCGATAAGTAGCCAACATCGAGGGCCCAGACAGGCTGAGCCTTCTCAGGGAAAGGGAGGAAGGGAACCTGGACGAAGGTCTGAGGAGGGACAGAGCACTGCACCCAGGGACGAAGCAGCCACCTCAGCCACTCTGCAGCGCCTACTTCTGTCTTACTTTTTTTGGGCTCTCTGAGCCAGTAAGAAAAGGGTCCTGGCCTTCTGCCCCAGGCAGGGGATGAGGCTGCTGTGTTGCCCCAGCTGACTCGCCACCATCCCCCGGGACTCCTCCACTCCAGAAGCAGGTCAGAGTGATGGCAGGCACATGGGCCATTTAAAAACCAGGACCTGATACAGGCAGAAGCTGTCCCTGCCCCCTGGACACCTTTGGTCCCTCGGGGCACAGTGCTGAGAGGGCATTCCTCGTGGCCTCAGGAAGAGCGGGCCGAAGCAGGGACAAACAAGCCAAAGAGGTCAGCTCCTGCTATCCAATCCCCTTGTTTTACAGATAAGGAAACTGAGGTACACAAAAGTTACGTGTCCTGCTCAGGCTCTCATGGGTAATTAAGTGTCAGAGGTGGGATCTGAAGTCAGGTCCTCTGACTCCACACCAGCAAACTTTCCAAGGTCCATTAAGTTAGAAATGCCCTTTCCATTTCACACTGAGAAGGAAAAAGCCCACCCTGGAGAAATCTAGGACAGCCTCTAAAAACAAGGCCAGGAAACCAAAAGCAGTAAGAAAAGCAGAAGAGGTGGGACAGGGGCTGCCACCCCCCTCCCCCCCCATGCCTGCTCTCATCCAGAGAACAGACAAGGTGGGACGGCTCGGTGTGGAAGTGTGGAATGGGTGCTGAGACCGTGGGTCAGAATTCTCCAAGGGGAGGGGGAGGGGGGAGGCGCCCCAGCTGGGGGGTCGCCTCTTTGTTCCCTCAGCTTCCCCATCTGTAAAATGAGAGAGGTGAAATTCAATGACCTCTAACTTTCCTCCCAGCTCCAAACCCTATCACCCAATCAAAGCCCCTCACTATAAAGCAAACAGATCTGAGTCAGAGGGCCTGGGTTCAAATCCTGGTTCTGCCAGTTACCACATGTGTGATCTTAAGCAAGCTCTCTCCCTCTCGGGCCTCAGTTTCCACATCTGTGAGACAACGGGGCTGGACTTGGAAAGGGCCTCTGAGCTCCGATCCAACCGTAAAGCTCTCAGAAGGAAACAGCGCCCCAGACTCTAGTCCAGCGCTCTCTACCCAGGCCAACCAGGCCAGCCCATCTAAGCACAAGGCCTTTCCAGTCCTTCTGCACGCCAGTCGCTGACCCGACTTTGCAAGTCATTAGAGCCCCATGACTTTCAATGAAGGAAGCTTAGGTCTGGTCGTAGGATTCCACTATCAGACCAACAGAGCAGTTCCAGACTGGGAAGGCCCCCTCTGGGGTCCATTCCGGACTCAACTGTCCTACCCAGAGAACTTTGGGCAGGCCCACCCGCCCAGCCTCCGCCTCCCTTCTTCCATGACTCGCTCATGGCCGCTGCCACGTTCTAGGCCCGCTGCGGTGGGGGCCAGCACATCTCCCTCCAACCTCTCCTCGGAGGCCCGAGTCTATGCTGGCGCCGCCCCCCATATCCATCATCCCGTGGCGCTGAGACACAAAGGAATGTCCATCTCCGTCCCGCCGGCTTCCATTTACCCTCCTCCTCACTGGCCAAACAATTTCTAATCTGGGCCTGGGTGTTTACATCTCACCCGTGTTTACCCAAACTTCTGCTAAGTTTGTGCTATGGCCTGCGTCTGGAATGTCTTCCTGAGCCACAGTGGACAAGGACCCTCTCAGGGGCTCCCATTCTCTTCCCCAGGTTGGCGGGGCCAGCCCAGACTCTTACCAGCTCAGGGTGTAAAGGTTTGCACGTGATGGAGTCAGCAGCACCTTTGTTTTCGAGAGGCCGAGTCAGGATCATCGCCATGGCAATGCAGTCAGGCGCTGGGATCCATCACAGGACAGACCAACTTTCTAGCGCTAAGGCATCTTCTGTGGGACCAGGGGTCAGCACGACCAGCTCTCCATCAGCGGCCGGCCCTCGGGGTGGCTGGCCCGGGATGTGGGCCAAACGTGGGCGGTGACCTGGAACAATAGAAAGAAGAGAGGTTCCCGCTAAGCATCTGTGCTCCACACCAGTGTCCAAGCCCAAGTGACCCTGCTCGGAGACAAGTGGCACCGAGGAGCCCTGACACGCACAGTTTGTGACAGAGGCGGGGATGCTTTGCTGGTCAAAGGCCCGCACAGCCGGGAGGCTTGGGGCAGTAGAGTCCCATGATCGAGTCCCCACCCCCACCCTCAGCTCTGGGGAGTCACGTCCATGACCAGTCCAGGAATTCAGGCAGGTCCAGCTCATTAACACTTTGCACCTTGGCCATCTACCAAGTTCTGGATTCTAGACTGTCTAATGTCCTCAGACGCCTCCTCTGAGGGGGCCTCAACGTTCGTCTCGGTATAGACTGAGGCGACCCCATGGAGGTGGAATGTTCGCCCTCTCTGTGACGGGGCTGGTCCCTAGTGACAGCTTCCCAGTCAGTTAATGGTCCTAAGAGTGGCTCCCCTTGTCCTTGGCTCTCTGTGAGAAGGACCGATGGACGATGGATAGACCGACAAACAGATAGGTTTGGGGTGGGCTCCGCATTCACGCCGTTTCTGCTGGGGGGGAGGAGGCGGGGGCACTACAGCATGATTTTTTTCATCCTCATAGAACCAAACCAAGCCAAGCGCAGCTGACTTTGAGATCAAAGAGCTCCGCAGTAAGAAGGGCCCATCCACACACAAGCCCTGAGGCCCTCAAGGCCCTGTCCAGCTTCGAGTCCCGGGATCCTCCGCTCCAGTCCTCTATTCCCATCAGCCTCTCTCTTCCGCTCCCTGCTCTGACGGCAGACTCGGGTCTGATTTGAAAAGCACCATTTCCAGAATCATTCCTCTAATCCCGGTCCCCTCAACCACTCAGGCTCAGGTGACCGACCTCAAGGAAACTGGCCGCCTCCACCCAAATTAAAGGTGGCTCCTAATCAATCATTAAAACCAAACTGGGGTGGGAAGTTTGCCCCCGATCCAGGAGTCAAAGCCAAATGCAAACTTATTGATTTGTGTCCTGCGGATGTAAATCATTTTCCTGTTTACTGTCTTTGGCTTTACAGTGGGTGATACTGAGATTGCTCAATTGTGAGCCAGCTGGCTAACGGGGGGGAAATTACCTTCCACTGTTCTTGAAAAACCAGGTTCATCCAAAGTGCAGAATTGGGGAAGGGAAATAGGTTCGTTTCTCCAGGATTTGCTGCTAAGTGAGGGAGGGCGGCCGGCTGAGCCTGCCGGGCTGACATCATGTTTGGAGACAAGCTGCCACTGACCGGGGCGGGGAGGATGCCCCTACAGGTGCCAGGCAAGGCAGTCCCCAAGCCAACTCCTTCCGCCTCCTCCCTTTGGGCTGAATTCACACTGGGGACTCAGTGGAGGCTGGCAATGATGGTCTCTATTCCAGGAGAGGCCATGAGGGGCGGGGGTGGGGGGGAGTGTCATGGGGAAAGGTATTCACTCCTTTTACAATGAGGGGAGGGGATATAAGGACAGCAGTGATCTAGAGAGTCAGGAGAGCCCTGGGTTCAAATGCCGCTTAGTAGGTACTTGACCCTGAACAAACCCGGCTCCCTCTCTGGGCCACTTCCATGTGTTTCAAAAAGAACTGAAGATTGGCACAGCGGATAGAGCACCCACCCTGAAGTCAGGATGACCTGAGTTCAAATTTGACCTCAGACCAAACACTTGACACTTACTAGCTGTGTGACCCTGGGCAAGTCACTTAATTCCAAACACCTAAAAAAAATTTAATTTAAAAAAAAAAAAGGACTGCAGCTGTGGGAACAGGCTCATCTACAGTTCCTCCTGTCCCCACTGGCTTTGGATCTGGCATCCAGAGCTCAGGTTCAGAAGGCCCACAGAAATCAGCACACCCCACTTTCTCATTTTACAGAGGGAGCTGAAGCCCAGAGAGAGGGAGGTTTGAAGGACCCTGGATCTCTGGCAGTCACATTTTACAGACAGTAAAACTGAGACTCAGGCAGGTGACCTGACTGGACTATCAGGGCCACCCAGCTAGTAGCTTTCTGCCTCTGAGTCTGGCATTCCATCCAGTCCACTCTGCTCTGCTACCTCCTCTCTACCCACTGAGGCGCTGCATGGGGTCTTAGCCAAAGTCTCAGAGGGAAAGGCAGGATTTGAATCCAGATCTCCTGACTTAGGATCACAGTTTTTCCCACCACATTGCCTGGTCCAGCCTGTCCTAACTATAATCTTAGAAGTAGAAGTAGGCAGAGAAATAGCTACTCTTCTCAATTTATTATAAACATGATCAACTCCTCACCTGAAAGCCAAAGCATTAAGAGTAGCTGACTAGGGGGCAGCTAGGTGGTGCAGTGGATAGAGCTCTGGCCTTGGAGTCAGGAGAACCTGAGTTCAAATCCAACCTCAGATACTTGACACTTACTAGCTGTGTGACCCTGGGCAAGTCACTTAACCCTGATTGCCCCCCCCCCAAAAAAAACCACTAGCTTGACTTCACATTCCCAAATTCTTTTCTCTGAGAAGGAGAGACGCTCCCCTAGCAGCAACATTACCTAATGAATACACTTTCACGTGAAAATATTACCACCTTCATGAGGGCTGAGTGCCCTCTCTGTGCTGGATAACGGGGGACTTCTCAGCCTGAGCAAAGTTCTGCTGGCTGGACTGAGAAGGGGAACCCCCAGGCTGGCCTCTTCTCCCTCCATACTCCTTCCCTTGGGGATCTCATCAGCTCCCTCGGATTCCTCTATCATCTCTGTGCAGATGGTTTTCAGATGAATTTGTCCAGTCCTGACCTCACCACGGACCTCACCACTGACCTCGCCTCTCCAACTGCTTGATGGGCATTTCAAGCACAGACATCTTATGCTCAATCTGAACTCCCAACCTTTTCCCAACATCTGGTGCTCTTCCCACCTTCCCCATCGCTGGTGAGAGCCCTGCCCTCCTCCCAGACCCTCTGCCCACAACCTGCTCGGCACCCCTGCCTCCTCCCAGACCCTCTGCCCACAACCTGCCTGGCACCCCTGCCCTTCTCCCAGACCTTCTGCCAACAACCTGCCTGGCACCCCTGCCTGTGTCCACAACCTGCCCGGTACCCCTGCCTTCCTCCCAGACCCTCTGCCCACAACCTGCCCGGCACCCCTGCCTCCTCCCAGGCCCTCTGCCCACAACCTCCCTGGCACCCCACCTCCTCCCAGACCCTCTGCCCACAACCTCCCTGGCACCCCTGCCTCTTCCCAGGCCCTCTGCCCACAACCTGCCTGGCATCCTTGCCTCCTCCCGCTCTCCTGCCCCCAAGTCCAATGAGTTGCCCTTTTCCACCTTCCTCAGACCTCTCGATTCCGCCCCTTCTCTCCTCACCCCTGGACCAGAGGTGGGGGTGGCTCTGGGGCCTCTCCGCTCTCCCCTCTCTACTCAGCTATTAACCTCATCTTCCTAAAGCACACGCGTGACACATCACCTCCCTACAAATTCAATTCCAAGCTCCCAGTTTCTCCAGATTCCAAAGTAGAATCCTCCAGGCAGGTTTTCGGGCCCTCAATAACCGGCCCCTTCCTACCTCTCCCTTCTTCTCGCTCCTTTCCTGACTCCCCACCATGTCCTGGGATGCAGAGGCACTGGCTTCCTGCCTCTTCCTTGCTCTACACGCTCCAATCTCCCACCTCCAGGCGTTTGCACTGGCAGTTCCCTGTGCCTGAGAGGCCCTCCCTTCTCATCTCCAACTCTCAGCTGAAATCCTGCCTTCCACAAGAAGCCTTTCCCAATCCCCCTGAATCCCAGTCTCTCTGCTGGTTACTTCCAGCTGATCCAGAGTGCGGCCTCTGGTCCCCCTCATCAGACTGTGAACTCCCTGAGGGCACGGGCTTCTTGCTTCTCTTCCTATCTCCAGCACTTAGTACACTTAGTCGGGTCTTAATAAATGCTAGCCTGACTTGTCATAACTACCTAACCTCTTGAACTGTTTCCTTTTCGTAGGAAAATAGAAAGATCACAGGTCAGAGGACCCAGGTTCAAATCTCATCTCTGATCTGCTACTTGAGTAACCCAGGGCAAGTCACTTAACCACCGTGGGCCTCAGTTTCCTCACCCATAAAATGACAGGGTTGAACCAGATGGCCCCTGAGGGCTTTTCAAAGTGTGACTGAAAGCTGGCAGGTCAGGTGAGGCAGACTATACAACAGGGGCCAGGGGAATCCTTGCTCCTGTCTCCCACACAAACCCCAAGGCCTGCAGCAGAAAGTGGGGCTGGGCCTGAGCACAACTGGCATTTGGATGATTCCCTGGCCCAACCCCAGCCTTTCCCGAAGTTTCTCCATCTCCCAGCCTCTGGGCCAATCTGAGAAATAACAATGTTATCTTTGGAGGAAGGATACAGCCCAAGCAGGCATTCCACAGGAGCCCTGTTGGCTGCATGTGATGGAACAAGCCAGGAAGGCTCACTGGCCAGCCAGGGCATTGGCCAGAGAAAGGTGGAGCTGTGCCCCAGGCCTCAGCCATGTGGCCCCTCTGGACAGATGAGCCTCAGCCCTTTTCCATGTAGAATCCTGGTTAGGCAACAGAAAAGAAAACGCTGAGAAGGCTCTTGTTTTATGCACGTGGGAGAAAGGAGGGCCCAGAGGTGCAGAAAAGATTAACCAAAACAGAGTCCCAACAGCCGGGAGCGAAACAAAGCTTTCAAAAACCAAGGACAGGAGTGGGGACCATCAAGCCTACAGGCTCTTCTTCAGTCTTACTGTCCTGTTGGATGTTGTATTGTGGGCCCGCCCTCAGAAGAGGCTAACTGCTCTCTACTGGGGTGGGAGGTAAGAAGACACCCCAGGCTCTAGCACAGAAAGCAGTCATCATTATACTAGGGGAAAGAACATGGCCACACAGCAAAGATCCCAGAGCCATACAAACTTGAGAATAATTTTTATCAGATGATACCACTGCAAATACTCCTAACGCCAAAGTCCACGGAAGGCAGGGAGAGGAAACCATTCACCCTGTCCTGTGTCTGGTCCTGGAGGTGTCCC